GACTTTTATTAGCACCAAGAAAAGCTGCCCAGGAAGCCTAGCTGAGCCAGGAATTCTGTATGGTTGGCCAAAGGTGGGAAGATTCCAGAAGACAATGAGCAGAGCTCCTAGGGAAAAACAAACCAGAGACGGAGGAGATAGCCCAATCAGTGCAGTGCTCACTTTGTAAGCATGAGTTCTTGAGCTCGATATCCAGCATCCATGCAAAAATAAAAGCTAAGCACAGTGGTGTGTCTGTGAGTCCATCTTTGGGGGAGAAACAGAAGAATCCCTGGGCCTTGATGAGTAACAAATTTTGTCAAATTGTGACCTGTACGTTCCATGCAAGACCCTGTCTCAAAAAATAAGATAGAGAGTAATTGAGGAAGATGCTCGATGTTGACCTCTGACCTCCATAGGCATACACACACACACACACACACACACACACACACACACACACACACACTGAAAAACAAACTGTTCCTTATCAGTCCTTTTTGCTTTCCACCCTCCCTTGGTACCCAGTTCTTGGATGAATTTTAGCGTTCACCTGGGCCTGAATCCTCCTACGTAATACTCAGTGTCCCGGACATCTCCTCCTTCCGTGTCTTATCAAAATTTGCCTGCCTGTGTCCTGTATCAGTTCCTCGGGACAGTGACTAATCTGATAAACTGACACATACTAATGGGATAAGGAGAGTGAATACCCTGACATGTTAGACCTCCAGGTAATTCCTGTCTTATTTATTTATGAATTCTTACCTTCTGACACTGTTCCTGGCACATGCCAAGTATTCAGTTAATGTCTGCTGCAGTGAAATAGATGGAGTATTCTCCTTTCACTCGGACTTTGGGAGACAATGCCTTCCTCAAAGCTAAGGCTCTGGTGACTAGCACACTTGCTTGCAGACCGGATGGACTGCGATTTGCTTCTCACAGTCCATATGAATCATGAACTGAACATTTCCTTTGAAAAATTCTGTTTAGTTCTAAACATTTCTGAGCACTCAGCTAATACTGAGGCTATTAGACAAGTATTTCTGTCTTTAAAGAAAATTGTGTTGTTAGTGAATGTGTAGTGTTGACATGAGCATGGCCCTGTCAAGGACCCCACTCCTCAGAGCCGTGGGAGTGGCAAAGCCTTCCTCAGGAGAGACTCAGAGGAGGGAGAGGTCTCTTCACTCCAGCGCTGCTACTGTCAGGTTTCCATGACCAAACCATGCAGGATTTGGTGATTGCTATAGCCTTATAGTCGCATGTCTGGGTGCAGTATAGGAATGAGAACTTGCAGCAGCTGCCAGGTTGAACTTTAAGAAATATATTTATCTTGGTGTTAGAGATACATCTCAGTGGTTAAGAGCACTGGCTACTCTTGCAGAGGACCTGGGTTCAGTTCCCAGCACTCACATGGTGGCTCACAGCCACCTGTGACTCCAGTTCCAGGGGATTTGGCTCCCTCTTCTGAACTCCTTATGT